CATTTGCATTTAATATCCTCCTGACAAATTTTACAACAATCTATTGTGTTTTGTACAAGATCAATTGTTGAGTAGATGTAGGCCTGTTTAATAAATTTCCTACCATAGCTCAAGTGATAATTCACTGTTAAAAAAAGAAAAAGATATAGAAATATATGAAATTTGATTTTCATCTCTAACTTTTAATATCTTGAACAATTGCCCAACTTATAACGTAATAATTATAAGCATAGTTTGTCATTGTTATTGAAAAAATTCTTAAATATTTCCCAATAATTTCCCGTTGACATGGAAACATCAAATAAGTTGGTTTTGTAACTCGAATAATATTATCCAGATCTTTGCAAAGTATCTTATCCATCCCATAATTTAAAGCATACATTTTGAAACCAGATTGAAATTCTATACTATGAGTTAAAAGAAAGCCAACTGCAAAAAATTTGTGATAAACTGGTAATTCTATAAAATAATCTTGAGTAGGATAGTTATTATTACAAATTGAATTTGGATAGATTTGCAAAATCTGGAATGAGTATACAGTACTCGCATAATTCAAATTTAAATTATTAATATTAACTGGTTGTTTTTTGCCAAGAATGTAAACTTCACAAATTTGCATATAATTATTTCCATTAACCAATATTATTGCCTAGTTTGTAGAATGAAATTCTATCGCCAATAAATTTACAATTGAATAGTAGATAGGATAATTCTAGATTATTTGTTATATCTGAACAGACTTGCCTGTGAAAACTAGTATTAAAAATTAATTCTACATCAACTTGAACAGTTTTTAAGTTTTTTTAAAGAAAGAAAAAAAGAAAAGAATATGAACAAATTATAAAAATAAATAAAGAGTAACTGAACCTTCTTTCCTTCTATAGGGCGTGAGAACGTCTATTTCATTGATCATATAGAAATTACCCATATAGAGTGTTAATCTTCCTTCAACGTTATGCTGAGTTAAAGTACCGGAACAAGATAAAAATCCATTCAAATTGATATTGTAGGCTAAACTATCAGTAGTTTTAAAGGAAATTGATCGCCTTCGCTATTTTCAGATAAAAGAATAATTCTGTTATATTAAATATTCTTATGCAATATTACTGGCTATTTTGAAACTAGGGGTCTGGAAAAAAATCTATTCAATTCCTTCTTTTGGTCATTTTTTTAATTCTATTTGAATCAAATAGGATATGGGTTCAATTTATTGGATACAAGTTTTTTTCTATCGCATAATGTTCAATAATTTTGGTGTTATTTACTTGAAAATACTTCTACTTCGCAAAATTGAATAAAACCATTATCTTTTGATTGATCATTTACAAAAGAACTTCATTGTTGTTTTAAATTTGCGCATAAAATTTAGTGGAGAATCATTTGTCAGTTGAATATCACCATTGATACAGTAATTATCCATATGATTCATGAAAATTTTCAACAGTTGAGTATCTATTTATAGAATTTCAATTGAATTAATTTAATAGTTAAAGAACAATTTTTCAACTGCTAGACTTTACTTTGTTCATTTGTTGGCCATAGAATAATCTTTTTAATAATATGCTCTCCTTCTAGTTCAATTGTAATTTCAGGTTGTCGAGTAGTAGATTTTAGTATTATTTTACATGAACCCAAAGTAATGTTGCTGCACCTTAGACCATCAACAACATGTTTAGGATGAGACAAAGAACTTTCAAATCGTCCTATGTAAGAAACTTTTTGATCAAATGCTATATTTGTTTCCTGACCATTTGTAGGCTGAAAGCAGATTAATCTATAATAATCTGAGTTTAAATCCGTAGTGAATATTTGTAGGGTACGATCGAAAATCTCTCTTGAGTATTGGTCAAACTGTGATATAGTCATGGTTTGATGCTCAGCCCCAATTTTAAATTGTTCTGTGAAACAACCATTCTGTGTCCATAAGAGAGTAAAACATTCTTCAAACAGTAGTGGCAATTGGCTGTCATCTGTTACACAAACTCCCAGTTTTTGGTCTATTGTTAAAGAGTGAAAAAAACACGAAATTATATTTGACATTTTAGAATATTTCCAATATTTCTACCTTTTCGAATGATTACTGAAAAGAGGGAATTACCAACTAATGATGATATTCCAGAATAAAAGATGCAATAATAATCTCCATGAGTCGAATCTTCTCTAAATGAAAATCCAACGTAACCATTATTTAGAATAGGATTTTTACAAAAATCATAGCATTCATCAATAGTTGCTCCCGAAACAGTTCTTGTATTATTGCCTTTATCAACAAATTTGCTTTTCTTAAGAACTAAACTCTTTCCTGTCAAAGAGGATTACGTATTAATTTCTAAGATATACTCTTCACTCTCTTACTTTTATTACAAATTTTTGGACCAAAAATGCATACGGATTCGCCCAATACACAATTGTCAACATTGCAACAGTCCTCCTTAATTGCGCAAGAATTCTCTATAAAAAGTAATAGAATATCATTTTATTCAAAAATGATAAATTGAACAATTGATTATATTAATATTTTAGACAATATAAATTGTGTTACTTTGTACTAAAATTTCTCTTATTACTTTTACATTTTGCTGTTTTTTGCTGTTTCTTAAAATAAGAGAATATCTCTTTTCAAAAGTATTAATATTTCAAAAATATAGGACAAATTTTGGAGGTGAAAACCAAAAGATCAACCTTCATGGCTAAACTGACCAATTATTAACTACTGTCATTAGATGATTAGACAAAAAAAACACAAAAGAAGACAACAAATGAATGAAATTGAAATTTTCTCTAACCATTAACATTACCTAAAAGGAGAAATTATTTAAATATCATTTACCTGAACTATTAAATTCTGTTAGAAGGAAAAGGAAGAGAATTTTAATCAGTAGTGAATATATAATGGTTGATAATCGAGTAAATACATTTTTTAGCAATTGTAGTATATAATATGTAAATGGAGATCTTTTAAATATTTAATTATAATTCAATATATTCAGTTTATTTCTTCATATTGAAAAAAATATGAAAGATATCTTTTTCAAAGATATTAAATGACTGTTCAATTATTCATTCAAATAGATAGGCTGCGGTCATCGGGTAACGGTTGCCTCTAAGATATTTAAAAAGGCAAAACGTCATGTATAATTAGTGGATAAATTGAAAGATGACAGAGATTTCTCTGCAATTTTACAATTAGAAGAAGGGAACATTGATAACCATTTTTCAAACAGAGGCTGCTGGAAAAATGGTGAATGACCTAATGATACTTTTTTGTCTAATGTTGTTACAGAGAGAGAGAATGCTATTTTCGTTGGAAGTTTTGTTTTGAAAAGAACTATAACCTAGATTTGATCAATACATGTCAATATTTTTCATATACAATAGCAGATTATTTAAAATAATTAAATAATCAATAAAACGTTAATATTGATAAAAAATGTCGGTCCGAACGTTGAAAGATATTTCAAGAAATTTCATAAAAGATAATTTATACTTAAATAGTCAAATCTGTCAATTAAATTCTATGAATTTACCGCATTCTATTGCTATGAAAATCATAGAAGAATACTGTTATGACAAGTACTCTTATAATCTGAGCGATAATAGCGGAATATTAACGGATAATCTTCAATTAACTGCCGTATCAATGGAAAGAATTCACGATTTTAGAAAAGAGAAGAATTTCAACTTTTTAAAATATCACCCTATAAAATCATTAACATTAAAAGGTTATAGTTCAATTGATCAACTATATCTATCTCCTAAACTGGAAAAATTTGAAATGATTAACTGATGTCTAAAGTTTAATGATATAAAATTATTAGGAGATTTATTATCAAAGTGTTATCTCTTAAAAACTATTGACCTTGACAGAACTATCAATAATATTGATAATTCAAATTCTTATGGCCTGTGGCAAAGAGGCTTTGGAAATATTTGTATAGGATTAAAATCATCAAAATCTCTTTTAAATCTTAAACTAAAGTGTTTATCACACCAGAGATTATCCGATCATCAAGCTATGCAATTAGGAGATTTATTAATTGAATGTTGCTCATTAAAGGAAATTCATTTGAATTTTAAAAGTGAATGTGAGGATGGAATAAAGAATGTTATTCTAGGCTTAAAAACATCATCGCATACTCTTCAAAATCTATTTTTAGGTTTTTTTCACCAGAAATCTGTAGCTATATATTTGAATTCTTTACCATATTTTTCATCTTTAAAACAGGCTGAATTTCAAGCATTTTCTCAACCCCAAAAACATATTATGTAATAATTATTATTCAATGTTTGTAAATCTTCTATAAATTCTCTATTAAGTATTAACATTATTGAATGTCCTCTCAATGGAAATGAAGGCCATTTTATTGGTGAATTATTAAACGGATGTACAGCTTTACAAGAGATTATCCTATGCTTACATTTCAACGATTCTAATCCACTGAAAAAGCTCACTGAAGGGTTGAAATCTTCTTGTAAAACTTTAAGGAAAATTAAAATTAGAAATTGTTCGCTAGATGGCGTAAAAGGAAGATATTTCAGGGATTTATTCCAACACTGTAATTCATTTAAATGATGTTGACCTATCGACTTACAAATATGATTTATGGTTTCATAATCTGAAAACAAATTCATTAAGAGATTATCTCTCTGACTATAATCCGTCTTTGAAGCAAACTCCTTGGCTGGATAAAGCTATTGATAGGTTTCTAAGAGATTTTATTCCAATTTTACAACAAATTGTGGTCGCCATATGAGTGAATTTTTCCTCTCTTTATAAAAATCAATCCTATAATAACCACTTGTAAACCAGAATTGGCATAAAATCTCTTCAGTCATCAAAGTAAAGTATCATCATTATCATCTAAATCTTCAAATATACATTTTGGTAATACAATAAAAAAAATATTTAATGAACTAGATAAAGGAAAATATGGAGCAGCTGTCTTTGACCTTTACGGATGTCAATTAGAAAATGGAAGAGTATTCTTCTTTCTTGAATTTAGACTTATATATGAACCAGAGAAGAAGAACACAGAAATTACAAACACATTTGAATGTTTATTAAAAAGTTTAAATTCAAATAGAAATTCTTTATTTAAAATTAATTTTTTCAATTATTTTTTAAATGAAGGCAATTTCAACTGCCTAAATAAGATTTTCAATGATTATACTCAACTCCAAGAATTTGGATTTACTGTTAGGGAATTCTCCGAAAGGAATATTGATGATTTTTTCAACTGTTTAAACAAACTATGGCCTTCACTTTCACATATCTATGTTCTTCATTACAGTCTATCAAGATTGGAAGGTCTAATGATAAGTAAAATATTGGAAGAGAACTCTTCTCTTAATCAAATGTTTTTAATATATCTTTCTATATACTGAAATAAAATATAGCAAGCATTTAATATCACCTGACTTCCAAACTGTGAATAATATTAATATTAAGCCCATAATATATCATAGAATAATTTCAAAAAGAAAATCTTACATGTACAGACTTATTTTATGAAAAAGAAAATAGAAACTTGCAGACACAGGCAAACACTCTCACTATCTCTGTCAATCTCTCTCTTTGAATAAATTGCATCATAGCTAAAATGGTTGACAAGTAAGAAATATCTACTTTTTTTTTAATTCCATAATAATCATTGTTAATATTTTAGACAATCAGACATTGAAGTAAATGATGATAAATCTTCATATGTAAGATAATCTAAATAATTTTAATATGTTGTAATTGAAGAGTATGTTCTTTTAGAAACTTGAAAATTCTCATTCAGTATCAGTGACAGATCATGTAACGCTTCATACTGATTTTTACATGGAACCCGCTAATATTGATCCTACTCCTATTCCTAAACCTGCTCCTACTCCTAAATCTACTCCTATTCCTCAACCTGCTCCTACTCTTAACTCGGCTCCTAATGTGGATGAATTGATAAATGTTTCAGTGATTAAAGGTCTACGGGTATGGAAAAATATCTCTTTCTTTTTATTTATATTCAACTGATTTTCAGTCTATTTTCAGTGTGCCAGTGTTCTGTCAATGATAGGCTGTATCATTTTTGGACTAATAGCACTTTGTAAAAGCGAACAAAGTAAATGGGCAATGAATAGAGGAAATCTTCTAGAAGCAAAGAGATATATTAAATGGTCGCGTCGATTTATTTTAGCAGCCCTTGTATGTTTTTTCCTAAAGCTAAACCCGCTTTTTTTCTTACCAATCATTCTCGCCTTCTCTTAAAGCAAATCAAATTAGCTAAATGAAAACGAGTATGAAATAAAATTTTTGGTGTTTTACACCAATCCCAACAATTAACTGTTTGTTTCCATTTTGTTTGCTCCTGAACCCTAGAAATACCTCAGGTCCTGCCTTGAACTTGATCTATTATTATTTTCGTACACATTTTCTCAACTATTTAAACAAAACCAAATCATAAAGAAATGAAAGAAAAACGACAGAGTGTTTTTACTCGTCGTCCAATATTTTATTACCGATTGAACCAGATGACAGATGGCGTAGCAAAACCATTATTACAACTTTTTAGACAGAATACAGTTTTGGCACAAATTTTCAAATGAAACTTTGGAATAGTTCACAGGAAATATAATTATTTAAATTCATTCCTGCATTGAATATAAATTTATATAGAATATTTTCAAATTCAACATTTTTCTCCTTTTTACAATAAAATATAATATATGTTTCTGTATTTGTTATATTTAATAAGCACTGTTTTCCAGTTGAGTGGATTTGGTGTTTTTCAACAGTTTCCTCAGTAAAATTCATTGATTCAGCTTCAGTTAGATTAACTTGATCTTTTCTTAAGATTAACGGATTAATTATCTTAATCCTCAGCAATTGATCATTCTGAACAGTAAGTTGAATGAATGATAATTTAGATCTTATAGGAATAAAAGTGTACAAATGTTCATTAAATATAGCGCAGATAGTTGAAAAATGACTTTGAGAATGTTCAAAAATTGTTACATTTCTTCCTCCTGAAAACAGAAAGATAAAAAACAATGCTGAATTAGAGAAAAATGATAGAAGACATATGATACCTTGATAATTGAATTTGAAAGAATGAATAGTGTTGGGTAAATAATTCTTCAGTAATATTTGGCTAACATTAACCGGAAGTTGTAATGTTGATTCAATTTTTCCAATTGTTTTTATACAACCACTTCTATCAATTGAACCAAACGTAATTTGAGTCGTTTTAAAATCTAACCAAAGATAACTCCATTCGGCACAATTAGTCATTGATAAGGATTCATTAAAGCTAATAGTTCTCTTTTCGGGTTTTAGTAGTTCCAATGTTGATTGATCAGACGTGTTAAGCGTTAACGAACAAAACACGGCATCGTCACTTTTAAAGTTCATTTGAAGGGAAGAAAAGCAAGGATTAGATTGTTCACTTTTCACCTGAAATTTTAGAGTCGTAAGATTCTTATTAAGATTTACAGGCAGATGGTAGAACACGTAATTTGTTGATTGAATACTAAAGATATTTTCTTTATCTCTTTCTTTAAAAGAAAAATGGTAATAAAGATAATAAAGAAATTGATTTAATGGTTATTTTAACCTACTCAAAGCGTAAACATCAATAAAAGCTATTCCAATTGATTGACCTCCATAGATTTCAGATATTTCTAATTGAATCCAATGTTCTATTGAGTTGTTTAGGTAATTCTGACATTTTCTTGTCCAATCGTCTGGTAAATTCATTTTCTCTTGAATAGAGGAACTCCATTGAACGTTGACAGATTTTATATTATTATATTGAAATAATCTGTTAACAAAGATATATTAATGAAAGAATCGAGGTGGAGAATAGTAGAAAAAGGTTCCCTCAATAAAATGCCGGTTCCCATCAGTATTACCTGTTAGCAATGCAATAGAGTACAGGTTGAGATGGATACGCAAATGTAATATTAATAAATTCTCCTATACAACCATTAGCGCACGTTGGCCGCCAACTCATAGCTATATTTGGTGTGATAGCCTCATTGCAAGTGGAAAAACTGCTACTTGATTCAAAACAGTTTGCCCCTGAAACGGTTGAAGCAATATTTTCGTAAATTAAATCATTACTAGTTGCGCTGTCTGCAAAACAAAAAAAAATTGCAGTTGTAAATTTTGCAGTTTTACAGTTTTAGCAGATTATTATTAACTATACCGTCGTAAGCAAATACTGCAATTGAATTGAATCCTATATGATACATTTGAGAATGGGATACACTTGGTTGTAAATGTATGAAATTAACGTCTCTGCCTTGATTACGTTCCATTAGAAAGCACGTTTTGTACATATTTAAATTATAAAAGAAATCTTGTCCTTTTCCAAAATTGACTTTCAATGTTTGAATTTTATAAAAATGCTGAACAATTCTTTGATTTAAACAGAAATAAAGAATATTGTACGTCTTTTGAAAATTGACTTGAATCCATTGATTAACGCAATCGGTGATAACGCAATTCGATGCCCAATCATCCATAGATAACAATTTTGATTTTATTGCATTTTCACATTCAAAATTGGAATAGACAAGGTCAGCATGATGAGAAGAGACTTGGCAAGTTGCCAAATGATTCGAATCGGCTATGTTTATTAATTTTCTTTCTACTGTTTAAAACTTAATTATTTAATTGATTGAAGTTAATGATTCAAATTTTACTTGATACAAATCCAAATGTATAACTGAAGTATGCACTGCAAAATATTCCAAATAGTATCATCTATGCTGTTATTTAAAAAGTATGTAACAATGAAACTTGAACATTCAACTACCGTTGTTTGAATATAAGTAAAACCAATACATTATCATTTCAATTTGTTTAATGATTTCTTATTGATATCTACTGCAAAAATCGAATAATCTCTCTCAATCAGTTTTGTAAATATGTATATTCAATATAATATATTTTCTATCTATCTTTCATTCTTCTCTCTCCCTTTACAAACACACACACACACAAACACTCAACGAGAAGAGTTGTAGCGCCATCTTTACGAATATTCATGAGCAAAGAGGCTAAATCTGAGAGATAAAAGACGGTAAGAGACCTGGTTAAAATGATTCAGTGTATGATAATAAATTTTTGACAGGCTTCACTTTAAAAAGTGCTCTTACTCAGTTAATTGTATTGATAAAATGAAGGCTAAAAATCACATTAGAAAGAAATGATTTATATCTTCCAATCCTCTGTTAACAATCTATCTGTCTATCTATCTCTCTGCTGTACACACTACTTCTGCCAATTTTCAATATATCTTCTATTATCGTTCTGTATTATTCAAATAATATTGAAATATTTTACTTCAACATTCAACTGGTTTAGAGTGTTGGTCTTCTTCATCTGTTGAAGTTTTAAAAATTCAAATCGACATAATGAAATCATTGGTTATTATTCTATTAATATTTATTATTGTTTGTCAAGTTGATTGTGAATATCCTTTCGATGATGTTCTGGAAAGAAGAGATGATACTTTATTGAATAGACTATTTAAAAGATCGCTGGTAAGGAAAATATTTAATTAATATATTGGATTAGGCCTATAACCTTTTTTCTTCTTCATCTCCCCTAGGAGCTGAAAGACTTTATAGATTGTTTTGGATGTAAAAACAATCGTCGTACAAATCCTTATTGTACAAATTCTATCTACAAGAATCACTGCGCAAAGCGTTTTAAAGTCTATTATTAACTGTCTAAATAAATGATACCTTTTACCCGTTTATTCTTGATCTTAACCAAATCGTCAGTCATCAGGATACGTAACTGAAATCTAAATCCAATGAGTAATTTGGAGAGGATTCATTCAGTTCGCCAATCATCTTCATTTTCGCCCAAGAATCTCTTTAACACGCGATCTTACACAATATTAAATGAATACCTATTATTAAGGGAAACAAAATTTTCTCTCCTAGCTGTCGATGATTGTTATTTCAAATTATAGACGATTTTAAACAATATATCGTCAATTCAAGTAGAATTGAACAAAGAAATAAAGGAATTCAAAAATTTAAACATTGTGAACCAGATCTGAAATTCTACTAATATCTTGAATATAAAATAGAACAATTTCGAAATATTCCAAAAATAATGGAACATATTTGAGTTGTTATTTAAAACGTTCAAAGTATTTAAATTTTTATTTAAATTTATTTAAATTTATATTCAAATTCATTTGAATTTTTATTCAAATTTATTCAAATATTCCAGAATTATTTAGTTTTATTATTCAAGTTAATTTACCTTCGAAATTAATTTCAGAGAAGAAAAAAGTGTTTTTAAAAGTTTCTAAAACTTTAACGAACACTAATAATGATTTTGAAGATATTTTAAATATTAGAATATATATTTTGAGTCTTTCAAGGTCAAGGTCGTAGCGTTCAATTTTTTTAGCGTTTAGACTTTAAAATTGTAGAATACAGGAAATGAAAAGAATTAGAAGAAATATTCTTTATTTTCCATTATTGTAAATGATATATTAAACATTTTAAATGATTTAACCCATTTGCAAGTCACTTTCAACGATATTCCAACAAAATGGCTGCTATTCAGAAAGACTTAAATTAATGGTAGAATAAAAAATAATCATTTTCCTTTCATTCCCTTCCTCCCTTATTTGACAGATGTAACGTGAGTATTGGACAACATCTATCTTAAAATGGAAATTTCAATACAACGATTGTTTCAATCCATTGAACACGTACCCATAGCATTAAAATTGTCCCATTTAAGTGATATATCATTCAATAGAGAATTCTCTTAAGATTGTCTGTACTTTGAATAGAAAAATCTATTTTTAGATTTCAACAAATAGATTTATTTCATATAAAACAAGATTGATATCTTCTGCCTTGGTATTCGAATTAGAAGAATTTTTACTGAAGAAACAAGCAATTGCAATATTTTGATTTTTTTCAATATTTTCAAATAAAAGAACCGCTTGAATTTCTCTTTTTTTATATAATAAAATACTTGTATTTCAAATAATCAGTGCTGCCGCCTTGAGGAGGCAAAGGTCATTCTACTATTAGTAAATTTGTTTCAGCATTATAAATATTGCCCTTGACACGTCCTTGACATATTAAACTATTTATGTTTAGGACTATATTAAATTTTAACAAGAGAGAGGGAGAGGGAGAGAGGGTATATCCTAATCAATCATACATTCTAAGAAAGAATATAATACTCTACTGTAGTCACGTGACTACCAACTTTGAAAAGAGTTATATTATCTGCAAATAAACAATAATTCAATTTTTAATATGACTTTTATACGAAAATAACTTGTTGTATTACGACGAGAAAAAATATATTGCCTCATATTAATAGGCCTAAGAAAAAATCGATTAACGCTATTTATATTGCTAGTCTCGTCCTCATTATTACCCTTCGACTGGTGTGAGCATGCAGAGAAACGGCTGTGGAGAAGAGAAACTCTACTGTTGTTACTTTTCCTAGTATAATCAACAATTTAAACGATGGAATCAGATCAGAGAACGATTATGTCTATTAACGTAGAAGAATTCTTAGGAATAGATAAAACATCGATACCGCCGTGCTCAATCTGTGGTGGTCCTTCGTCGGGGTAAATAACCTTTCAATATATTTATGTTATTCGTCGTTAACCTATTTATAGAATTGTTTATTAAACATCAACCAGATATCATTACGGTGTGTTTACCTGCGAAGCTTGTAAGGTGTTCTTTAGGAGGAGTGCCAAAAAGCACCATCTCTACAAATGTAGTGGAAGAGAAAATTGCAGTCCGGATAAAAATGCCATATTCGCTTGTCGCTTTTGCAGATTTGCAAAGTGTTTAGACGTTGGTATGTCGTTAAACTATATAAAACATGGGCGTTACTCTCAAGAAAAGAAACTGTTAAATAGTAAAAGAATGGCGGAAATAGACTTAAGGAAAAAGAGTATGATGATGTATTCAATTTCTCCATTAGCCAATTTTACGGAAGCTGACGAAATGTTAATTGGATGTTGCAACATACTTTCGGATATTCATAATATAAATTGGGAAGAAGATTTCCCGCATTTAGATTGCCTAATTGAATCTGCAAAACAAGGCGTTGATAGTATATCGTATCCAATTGAGCAGTATCACGACGTATTCCGTCTATCAGGATTAGAAGTGGACGATAGAAGAAAATTCTCTGGAAAAATTCAACAGATAATTGAATATAGTATAAAAAGATGGTCAACAAATTTGAAAAGAATACCTGGTTTTAACGATTTAACTGAAGACGAAATATTCAATCATTTACGTTCATATAGCGATATTATCTATGTCACTGTTCTAGCATTAAAGATCCATAATTGGAACGAAGGAGAATATCTTACTTTAAAAATTAGCGATCACAATATTCTAATACCTCAAAGAAAGATGGAATATTTTCTCGATGAAAGAGATTTCAATATGAGAAAGAGAATTTCCAATCAACTCTCCAAATTGAATCCAACTTTTGAAGAATTAACTCTTATTGTTATGCTTAACCTATTAAAACCCAACGAAAACTATCCGCAACTTCAATATCAATATAATAAAATGATTCTAGGCTTTACCAGATATTTACAGAGTATCCATGGAAACAATTCTACAGCTAGGATGAATGACATTATAAATTTTCAATCCTTTATCACCATGGAAACGTTCCAAGCTAACAAATGGAGACCTAGCGTTAAAGATTATTATCAAACAATATTCTTTAGTGAAATTTTAAAAGATTTTTGGTTTCATCCTTCCGTCCTACAACAGGAAGTGACATTTGATACTAGTAGTAGTCTAACCGAATTTGTGAATGACAATGTCCAACTTGAATATTTTAATGAAAGTGTATCATTTGATTAACAATGTTTGTGATATAACTAATATATCAGTATCTTTATAATTTCCAGTTTTGCAGTATTTACACTTAAACAGCAATCATTGAAAAAATTATTCCTGTATTTAATATTGCAAAAAGTTGTTTTATAAAACACTTTAAACAGCACTCTAAATGTATATAATGTGTAAATACTAAAATATCGTTATGATTGTGACGACGATGATAATGGTAATGATTCATACATCTTGAATATCAATACTCGATTTCAACAACTTACCGGAAGTTAAAATGTATTTGATTTGATTATTAAAAATTTCTATTTCACTAATGGAAATAGATTCATCAGCAGTTAAAACAATTTCATTTATTGCCAAATAATTAAATTGTTGGCAAATTGTATTGTCTTTATTAGAGTACTAGTAAATGAATGAATAATTCTTTTCAATATTTTGTTTTATTTCCTCATTCTGATAAAAACATTCACCTGTGAAATCATTCATCATAATATCAGCATAAATGTAAAACTTCTTTAACGGATCTAAAAAAAACACCAATGAAATGAAAATGTTTTAAAGAATTTAAGACCTATTATTTTACTTTTGTCAGTTGATTTCCAAACACAAATTTCAGTTATATTGTAAAAACCTTCAAGATCAACTGTCCACCAGGGATGCGACAGAAAACGTCCATAAATTGGTGCTTTTACCCTAACCCTAGCCCAGCCCTTAGCTGTACCTAACCTTTTCCATTACCCCTAACCCTTAGAGGAGACCCTCCTAAGTACAAATCAGTTGCTCTCTTCTTCTTCCTAACCATTTCTTAATCCAAAATTTAGTCTTGAAATTTCTCATTTGTGGACATTTTCTGTCGACCCCGTCCACCAAGCATCTACACAATTTCCAGTAGGAGCAGACTTACTAAAATCTCTCTCATCTCCATTTGCATTAATAGCTTGCTCGTAGCCCTTTGAATTCAGTTGATAAACTGGATTAGATCTTATTATGTTATCACTCTCTAAGATAATGCAACAGTAATAGTTTATATGAAATAGAATAAGGAAAAGCATATAAATCATTTTGTGTGAGTCTCCCAGCTTTCTCTAGTATTGTAAAGCATTTTATTGATACACTGGAATAATTAATTATTTAATATCATCTTATTAAGAATTTAGTATTGTCTTTAAACATTCTTTCGTTAAATTATTTGTTCAATTATTTATGACTCTATCGTTAAATTACATTGAAAAACGTGTCCTATTTATATAACACTCAATACAAGTCAATCCATCGATTATTACTTAAAAACAAAGATCTAATACTCAATTAGTGTGTTATTTTCTTTTTCTTCTCTCCTTCTTAATTATTTGAGAGAGACACTCTATTGAGATCAGATGAAATGTTGTATTAATGATATTTTCAGATTTTACTTTAAGCCCTGAATCATAGTAGAAAAAGCATTAAGGTTTTAAAAATGCAATTCATTCATACTTTTTATTATTATGCATTAAAAAGTATATTATCTATCAATATTTGACAGTTTATCAATATTTAATAATAAAGAAGGTGAAAAAAAATACTCCAACCATTGCCACTATATCAAAATACTGCTTCTTTACACGTGATCTATCACTAAAATAGAACAAATTGTCTATAAAGTCTTATTTTTATATTTTATTTAGTATTTTTGTTGCCGAAGTGATTGTAGTTTTGGAGGAAAAATTCTCTTAAATATATCAACTGGTGAAAGAATCCAATGTGACTCAATTATTGAAATATTTTGAATTATCTATAAAAAATAGGCACAAAGAATTATTCAGTTCTCTCTAAAGATATAAATTTAGCCCATAGGATATTTTTTGTTGTAATCTATCTCTAATCTTCATCACTTTGATCAAAGCAATTCACTTAACACATGATCGTTCTTGGAAAGTTTGAGATTTGGAAATAAAGAATGTATGAACTTCTAATTATTGCTACTATAGAAACTGACTGAAAATGTATTACAAGGAGGGTTTAAACACAAATCGACATCAATGTCCAGGAAATCATGGACAATCGTTACTCTGTTCAATGGTGGTGGATTTGTACAACTTCTCAAAAGTTTAAAAAAACCAGTCTTACAGGATGGTTCACAACCACTTCAACATGACCATTCAGACCAACCTCCTCTATAATAAACATTGGTTATTGTTCTTGTTCCGCTGTTTTGAATGTACTCGTATAAACAACTGGGCTTTAGCAGTAAACGGGGCTGACTGAAAATGTTCCCAAGTGAGATATTTGAAATTAAAATTTCGGATTGAAAAAAGGTTAGGAGGTACAAAGTAGCTATTGATTAGTAATTAGGGGGGTTCCATCTAAGGGTTAGGAGTAATCAAAAAGGTTAGGGAGAGACAAGGGTTAGCGTTAGGGTTAAACCATGCATTGGGGGACGTTTTCTCTCGCATCCGAGGTAAATCAAACATTCGAAAGATTGCAATGAAAACTACTATAGAAATGAGATTATTTTTATAAAAATAACCTTGGCTTTATGTGGGGAAAGGGTTCAAGATAATTTCAATCATCTAGTACAGGAATTTCTCTTGAAGACGCGCTTTTATCAGCACTGTACAGTAATTTTGTAAATCATAAATCGTTCTCTTCCGCAAATTTCTGTATCTACTGTTGCGCCATCTATTGGCATAAAAGTTACGAAGTCACTCAAAATTGTCGAAGCGTCATCCTCCTGATTGTAAACCAATTGAATAGCTAATTTAATACAGATGTCCGTTATAGAATGATGTTCCATATTCTAAAAGAGAATTTAAAATCAGAATGTTTCGAGAAAGAACACTATATAAACTTAATATGCAAATGAGGTACGAGTGTAAAACTTCTGAATTGTCAACTATAAAGCTACGGCGCGAAGCTGGGAAAAGCATACTTACCTGGCAGAAGGAATTGCTACGATCGACAAGGTAGCTTCCTCAGACTGAGGCCTTTCCATTGCACTTCGGATTGGTTGACGTCTGCGATCATCTCACATTGAGATGACTCGACTGTACAATTTTTGTTAGTGGGAGATCAGCGTTCGCGCGGCCTCCTTTCCAAATTTAATGTCAAAAGCTGAATTTATATGATATATCTGGGTCTTATAGGTCTAGGTAGATTAAAAGTATTTTTAGGGTTAGAAAACTAAATATGCATAAAGCTTTATTGTTTGTTATTGAGCTAATGCATTTTTCCAAATTTAGGCAAAGTAGTTACTTAGATGTCTAAAAGTTGAACTTCTGTTGATGTCTACTGCATCTACTATGTCAATAAATTGCAGTTGAATTATTATAGGACAAACTGTTATGTTGGTGATGTGATTGAAGATGAGTCGACAAAGAGAAGGCTTAGGTTAGTTTTAAAATAGACAATTAATCTCTACTGCAAATTCTGTCAACATTAAACTGACTATATTTGAATATAATTATGTACAAATGAAGAGTTAATACTATAATTTTTTAAAATTAGTGAAATGGTAATTCAAGCAGCAATTATCTTCTGATAAGTACAACTTTTGTACTAGAAATGGACAAATACTTTGCTCAAATTAATTTTTTAATAATTAGGTAGTAATTGGGTCATAAATTTTGTCCAATTTGACAAACTTGTATTAAAGGAGACAACATGAAACAAGAACTGTAACAGTTGTTTATGAAACTACAATGAAAATCATTCTATATTTAAAAATTTCAGTATCTTTGCTTGTTTTTAAAGAAAATTCAGATCGTAACAATTTGGTGTTAAGTTCATTTGTTAATGCAGAAACATGTTCCAAGTTGACGTATAAAATTTCAAATTGGTTTAACATTGAAATGTCTCATACTTTAGACAGAGAAACTTATAACCTTGTAATAGTGTCAATTTCATGTATTATTGCTTTTGAAGTGTTAAAAGATCCTAAGGAACTGTCTAAAGATATTTGTGCTGTTTTAAACTCCAAGAGACTGATTGGATTGTGTAAAGAAATTAGAAATTATTTCAAATCTAGTAAATCAATTGTTGATTTGGCATTTATGTTTGAGACTCAATATAGATTTTATAATAAATATCTCGACACTGACTACTATTTAAAGCATATAAGAGAGATGAAAGATTTCTTCAACTATCTTCATAAATATATTGTTGGGAAGAATATGACAAAATTGCTGGAAGATAATAAGGATATTGATATACTAGTTAATAAATTGTCTTCGAAGCATGGCTCTAATTGGTTGTTTAGTCTACAGGAATCTGGAATTCATCAAGATATTTTTCGAATTAATGCTATTGGACAAAATGATGAATAAATTAGGTCTATTGCTTTGGCAATAATGGGTAATATTCATTTTTTATACTATTAGTTCATTCAATCATTCTTACATTCTTCCTTCTAGAAAAATGCCCAAAGAAATATTCCAAATATCATCCCTATCACGAAAATCTGCAAAATTTTATCAAGACAGCCTACAGCCTACAGCCTACAGCCTACTGCTAAATGGAACAGCCATCAGTAGATCAGCAGAAGCTTATGAAAAAAGTTATGAAATAGTTGAGTACTTTAATGAAGCTGGTTTATTTGATAGACCTAAATGCAAAAATGAAGAAACTGTTGATAAAATTATTGCATTTCTAACTGAGCATAAAAATGAAATATTTAAATTTTTACCTGGAATGGCACACCTCAATAAAGAATTGAGAGAGTTTGATACTGGTGTTAAACTTGTTGTTTGTACTCTAATTAATTCTAAAGATTTAACACAATTCAATAATATATTGGGAATGTATACTTTTACACCCATATTAGATATTGAAAAATATGAACATCTAGCAGCATCTCTTTTCCTCCTTCCTTCAGAGTTCTATCACAAAGCAATGGAGTTTAGCAATGATTTCTTGTTGAGAAGTATCCTCATTAACAATTCACCTGGAAAACAGAAAAATCTGATCACAATGGGCAAACAATTGATGGATATCTATGAAGATTTAAAGAATATAGGCCTAGTCAATAGGCTAATAGAGCAAACTCCAAAAACATGTGATGATAGTAAATATGAAATTGTTGTTGAAATGGTGAAATATTTAAAAAAGAATGAACATGTTCTATCGAATACAATCTTTGCTTTGAGAGAAAAATATATCAACTATTCAATCCCTTCTGTAGATTTCTCACATTGGATTTCAGACTTTTTATGCCTACTTTCTGACTCTTCTATGCAAGATTTTCATTCCACTCTTTATGGTTATTTAGGCAATTTCAAAACATTGCTTTAAACTATTAGGACATTCATTAAGAAGATTTTACAGCAAATATCTAGATTGATGAGTTCTGTGTATTGATATTTCTAAAGGGAAATCTAGAAAGAATTGCTAAAACAAAAGATTGTTAATCAGTTTTTCTTTGCTCCTTTATGACAACAGGTTTGTAATACTAGTTTTGAGTAAAATGTAAAGGTTTAAACTTTTCGAAGATCAAGATTACATATATCTTACTGTGAGCCTTCGCAAAGGCAAGAAGAGAATCGTAGCCCCATTTTTGAACAAATAATTCGAGTTGTAGCTGGTTGGAGAGCACTCAATGTAATACTAGATGACTCATTTTGAATAGTCATATTAACAACGTCATATCAATAAAACTTATTGCACCTAGTATTATTTTTATTAAAAGTAAAAGCATTTCTTTCAACAAGGAAGATAATTTTAAAAGTGGACTGATATAAATTCCTTAACACCGGTTATGCACCTTGATTTTTAAAAGAAAAAGAAATATTATGTAAATATACTAAACAGTTTTGCCAGAAAGCAAACAGGAAATTGGTGTAAAATTCTCAGATATTAATTTGCATATATAGCCACAAGCGTTAAGAAAATTTTCAGGTCTTGAAAACGCCAGTAATTCAATACCAAACGTTTTAGACATGACGTAATAGTTGGATTGCTTTACAACGATATTTTTGAATTTCATCTTCAATTCACTTTCGCTAATTAATTTGAAATCTAAGAAAAATGAAGAAAAGTGTTTTTTTTTTGTTTTTAATGTTCCTAGGCCTACAGTAAAAAATAATTTAGACAAACCATTTAAATGGTTCTCCAAACAGGTAAATGAAGTTGCAGTGTTAGATTTGAATATTGTTTTGTTATTTTCAAATGACATTATTGCAGTTCTATTAAGTAATTTTTTAAATTTAGTTGATAAATTTTGTTTAAAAAATGTAGCTTTTGAGCATATTTCTTCTCTTCTTGAATTGATTGCTTCAACCCGATAAATTTGATTTGTATATTTTGCGTACAAAATATACAAATGATAAAATCTGGTAGCAAAGAAATCTTTAAAAAAAAAATAATTTAAATATTTAAATATTAAAAACAAACAATCTACAAACAATTGGAGTTTTTATCAACGCATGTCAGAGATACTATCTTTTCACTCAAAAATTCAAGTTTTCTCCTAAAATTCAAAAACAAAGAGGAATGAATTAATCCCATTTATGTAATGAATATTTAAAAAATTATTTTTTATCTACTGAATACAGCAATTCTTCTTCGAATCAAGTTTTAAATTTGTTGTTTTAACTGAGTAGTTGAATTTCGAAAACTTGATAATACTATGAATATCTTCGTATCCAATTTTTTGACAGATAAGAAATTGATTTTCATAATCTATATCTATTTTATTAATATAGAAATGTTTTCCGTTTGTTAAAGATTTTAGAAAACCATTAACAAAATTATTGGTTTTAATGATGTTACTCAAGTAGAGTTTTTGTGAAGAATGATATTTATTCAATTTTAAATCTGATTTTTCACAATTAACTTTGATAAATTGGATTTTTTGCTTTAAAGTTGGATATTTAATATTACAATTTTGGATTTTTTCTTCCTCCATTTTACAACCAGTGACATGAGGAAACTGTGTTAGAAAACAAAGTTTATATTTGTAAAAGAAAAGTTTTTGTTTGAAAATTTAGAATACTTTTTCAAAAATTTCCTCTGATTTACATGATGTCATTTTATAATTTAAAAGTTTTAATTGACAAACTAATTTACAGGCGACAAGATGTTTCACACCAATATCAAATAGTGGTGGAAGGATTCCATAACCTTTAAGGTGGAAACCATTTTTTAATCTTCGTTTAAACTGCTTCAATGGAGAATGTGGTTTAAAGTTGAGTGATTCAATCTTTATGTCTATTAGTTTTTTAAATGCATATATTAAATTTTATTTCTTTTACTTTCTATTGTAACCTTGACCTTTCAACTCTAAAAATGTACAATTTAAACTGGTTTTATCATTCTTCCTTTCTACCAGTTTAGTTGTAATTTGAAAAGCTCTTTTAAACCACACAAAACTTGAATATTCAGTGTTAATTTTAAATGATAATTGTTTTAATGTAAATTCAGTCTTGCCACAGAGTTTTTTCCTATCAGTTTCATTTCCATAAACCTTATAAACACTTTGATTTTTTCTGAGAAATAATTCAAAAATATTATCCAAAATTTCAACACTGAATAAATCTGTTCAAAAAATTCGATACAAAAGAAATGGTTCCTTTTTTATTTTTATCTTATCATCTTACACAGTTTCTGCTTTTTGCAACATTTTAAAACTATTTTATAGGAAGTAGCATCCTCTCTAATTTCACTGCAGGAGATAAAAAATATGTTTAAAACTCTATCTTTTAACCTTGACCTTTATTTAATAGTATATACTAACTAGAAGTATTGTTGATTTTTTCGAAAAAGGAATACTGATCTAGATAATTTTCTTTTACGTGGTTTAAAATATGAGTATAATGAGTCAAATCCGAAATTTTTACAAAGATTATTCCTGTCAACAAACGAAAGATTTTCATGTGAAACAACATGTAAAACATCACGGAATTGATTCGATTTTATTGTTATTAGCCCTTCAACAATTGTTCTTCTCTTAATAGAAAATTTTTTAATTAATGAAAATGATAAATTTCCAAAATTTTTTTCAATAGTCAATTGAATTAGAAAAACTGGTATTAAAATAATAGACACGTTTAAACATTTTAAAAATTTGAACATAATGTTTTAACGTTAAATGATTGTTTGAAATCAGTTAAAACCAATTAATTACTTTTATTGTATTTTACGTATTCTGGATATTGAATTTAAAAAAGAAAAAAATGACAAAATATTTAATTTATTAAAGATAATTTAATTAATTTATTTAAAAAAATTCTTTCTGAAGATTGTATTCTAAATCTTAAGTGATTAAGGATGGTGATTATATACATAATCCATTTCGAATTCAAAGATTACCTTCTCCAGAACATTATTTGGAAAATTTAGCATACACTAAACGCTAATTTGTTGATTGGCTGCTATTCACCCTATTAAAACATTCATCAAAAAATCAACAGTTAATCAGCTGTTCTTTTGTTGCCTAACAACATGTGCGTATTATCAGTTTTTGACTTCGAATACATAGGCCTATTTGTTAGAGCTACTTAAAAATAGTAATTAAATTTTGTTTTTCTTTTAGAATAATTAATGATGTTCATGTATATTTTTTCAAAAAAGATAACATTCAATTAATCTTTTGCTACAAGAATGTCTGAAATTGTTGTTGGGAGATAAGTTAGTGGAATTATAACATATTTCTCAAATAATCCAACTGTATAACGATTTTTAGGCCATATTGATAAGATTGCATTCTCATATGCATCAATTACTTCGTGAGTATTGCTTTTCAATCTATGTATCGCTGTTAAATGGTATTCCATATCTAATTTTGAAAATCAAAACCTTCCGTAAAAAAAATATTTAAAAATTTTAAAAATATTTTCTTACATTTTTCAACATAGTTCTCTCTAGTTTTGAATGTATCCTTTGTAAATTTCGAAGCTCTATCGTAACTGTCAAAAACCCGTTTTCTAGTATCATCAGCACTTAATAGACTAGTCCTATACATTCCTGGTTCAATTACATGAACAGAAATATTCCAGCCATGAGTTTTCAATATAAGCCTTTTTGGGTTGAAAATTTAGTTAAAACTGGTATTGGAAAAATTGAAATATTTACCCTAAACAACTTGATAGGCCTGATAGACAAAATTTCGACATTGCATATAAAAGAATCTTATTTTGTATCCGTCCAGCAAGGGATGACATGTTAATAATTCTACCATTCGCCATATGTAACAAATGGAGAAATTTAAATGACATTATTGCTGGAGCAACCGCATTAACGTTTAAAACTTCCCTAACTTTATGCGGTAGAATCGTCTCCGGCGAACCAAGATTGTGTCCAATAATTCCAGCATTATTCACTAAAGCGTATAGACCATTTTCACCAACTTTTTGACTAACAAATTCCCTAAGTTGTTCAATTTCATCGTCATTCGTTACGTTCAGAATGAAAGTTGTCAATCTATTTGAAGAGGATAACGATAAATCTTTAGCTCCTTTTTCAGTTAGGCAAGTAGCTATAACATTCATTCCTTTATTGTCAAGACGTTTCGCCAATAGATTTCCAAATCCTGAAATTTTTTTTTTTTGTCTGTTCATTACGAAGGAAATAAACAATTTCAACTTACCAGTATCACATCCGGTTATTAAAACGTATCTATTTTTAATATTCCTTATATAAATAGATCTTATAAAATGTTCAATACACCTTAATAGTATTATTAGTAGTAAAATACTTGTTAAAAATCCTAAAGTTGTAAGCATTTTGCTGTGTTAATAATTTAAAATCCCAATTTTGAATCTTCCACACAAACTCAAACCATTAATATAAAATATATATTGTATTTGTATAAAAAAATTTCTTATCTATAAATCAGTTATTTATGTAATGAATTGCTCATAATGGGTGAGATAAGAGAGTGAGGTAGAAAAAGGGGAGGGGAGGCAGGAGGCAGAGGCAACAGTTGTTTCTAATGCGCAGACAACATATGATGCTCATTTTATAAATTATAAATCAACAAAATCAATTTATAACGTCACCTAGTGATCTAGTTTTAGTACAAATAAAACAACCCCTCCAATTGCCATAAGCAACTTGGATCAATACTAAAAAAACAAAATGGCGTCCAATATTGAATTATCTACACGTAGCGTTCGTAAAAAAATTGAAAATAATGATTTTAACGGATACTCAAAGTTATTTAAACAGTTTGAAAATTCATCAAATACAATAACGACATTTAAATTTCAAGGTTATAATTTAAATTATAAAAATTATTTATCAATTGCTCAACTATTTAGCAATTGTCATCAAATCGAATACGTTAATCTATCGGATAATCTACAAATTGGAAATAGTTTAATCCTAATCGTAAAACAATTATTACAATGTTCAAATACTTTAAAATATCTTAACGTAACCGGATGTAATTTAAATTCAAAAATTTGTAAACGTTTTGGTAATTTATTAATTTATTTTACAAATATTCAAGAATTTTTTATTGGCGATAATCCAAATATGAAAAGAGGATTTTTAAAAATATGTAACGGACTTCAATCATCAACCAATCATCTTAGAAAATTCAGTATTTATAATTGTAATTTAAACGCACCAACATGTAATTCACTTGAAAAACTATTGATTAATTGTACTCTAATTGAACATCTGAATATTGGCAATAATCCAAATATGAATAATGAATTTTTAAGTATTTGTAACAGTCTTAAAAAATCATTTAAAAATTTAAAATTTCTTTCATTAAAAAATTGCAAAATTAATGAAAATAATTCAATTGGTGTGAAGGAATTATTGATGGAATGTCGTGAGATTATTGGAATATATCTGGATGATAATGAAAAGATAAGTTATGGTTTTTTGGAAATTTTTAAACAACTTGAAAAATCTAAACAAAATTTAAAGTTTATTTCTTTGAATTTTTGTAATTTAAATGAAAATATGGCTACCAGTTTAGGTAATCTTTTACCAAATTGTTCAGTCCTTGAAGAACTTTATTTAAAAGAAAATCGAAATATTGGACCAAACGGTTTTTTAAATATTACTATTGGGCTTGAAAATTCGTCTGCTAGTTTAAAAGAATTGGATTTTGAAGATTGTAATCTGGATGAAAATATGAGTAGATATATTGGAAATTTACTTCAAAAGTGTCATCAAATTGATAGTATCTACTTGAAAGATAATGTTAATATGGGAGATGGTTTAATAGAAATTCTTAAAGGACTTGAAAAATCATCTCAAACTTTACAAGTTCTAGATTTGGAGAATTGTGCATTGGGCGATAATATCAATAAATACTTAATAAATTTATTAGATAAATGTTCAAAAATTGAGAAAATATTTCTTGGTGAAAATCAAAATATACAACTTTTTCAAATATTCAAACTGCTTGAAAAATCTAACAGATATTTAAAAACTCTTGGTTTTGACAATTGTAAAATGAATAATGATGATTTTAATGAAAATCTTGTAAAGTTATTAAATCAATGTATAAAGTTAGAAGCTATATATTTTGAAGGAGATGATTGGATAAGACAAGACTTTATAGGTATATGCTCAGGGATCAGAAATTCTTGTAACACGTTACAGACCTTGAATTTCGAAAATTGTAATCTCGAGGAAGAAGCATTTAATAGTATTGGAAATTTATTAATGCATTGTCATCAAATTGAAGAAATCTATGTTGGTTGGAATTTTTATGGTAAAAATGGAATTTTAAAAATTTGTGAAGGTCTTGAAAAATCTTCTACATTTTTAAAAATTATTGGATTTCAGTGTTGCGGTATAGATGAAAGCTTATGCGATCATATTGGATTTTTGCTAATGAAATGTTCAAATATTAAAAAAATTCATCTAGCAGACAACTTTATTAAAAATGGATGGATACCAATTTGTCTTGCATTAGAAAAATCTTTACAAACTTTGGTTCAAATTGATTTTAGAAATTGTTTTTTAAGTAGGAAAATCTGCAAAAAAATTACAAACCAATTTGGGTCTAAAATTGTTAGACTTTGAAAAATTTTCTAACAATTCATTCAGCCTATTTTTAAATATTAATGAAGAAAGAAACTGTCCAAAGAGGGAGTATTTTTTAGACTGGTTCCATTTATATTATGATCAAAAGCTACTCAATTAACATTTCAATAAAAAGACATTTGAAATAAAATACAATATAAAGAAATGCCAAGTCTATAAATATACACACTTTAGAAAGAGAGTCGTTTAAAAATTCAAGTTAAAGTTTCAAATTGTTCTACAATTCAACAAAAAAGACAAACACTAAATATATGATTTTAATAATATTTCTATTGTTTTGTTGTTTAAATAAAGCAGAAATATTTGAAAATGAGAATAATTATTTTTTGGATGTTATCAATGAGACTCAACAATATGCTGAAGGATATTTAAAGATTTTGTTTAAAAAGGAAGTTTTTTCTGTCCATTTTGAATATGAACAGAGAGAATTTCCTTTAATAATAGGCGGAATTATGGGATACGACAATTTTTATTCCATTTCCTATGCAACTGATTTAAAAATTTTAACCAAATTTGAAATAGTTTTCATTGGAGATAAATGCTGTTTTCTGTAAATAGAAATACCTATTTATTTTTTAGCTTTAGTTTTTAAAAATTAGGCCTATGTTACAATTCATAAGAAAAGTCATTGACTTGTCATTTTTCCATAGAAAAGTCACTAAGGCGAAGAAAAAACTTGTAAAATTAATTTTAAAATATTTCAAAATGACTTCTCCATGTTGGCAATTATTTTTTTGTCTAATAAATTAATAAATCTTAATTATTAAATTTTAACAAAACAGATATTCTAAGTAGACCAACTTCACAGCTAAATGTTCATAAACTCTTCCTAAGAAAAGGGAACAGTTTATTTAAATTATTTACATTAAATACATACAATAAGAAGAGAATTTGTGAACAAACACTACTCCAAATACAGGAAACATATGTCAATGAATTGAAATTCAATACACTTGAAAAAGTTCTTTTATTGGTAGAGGATGATGGTAGTTTTACATTTCTATTCAAGTACTCAGAATCAATGGCAAATATCAGTAGAATATATTGCAAACATAATGAAATGAATGGTATGAAAATTTCATTCTAAAATTAAACTAAACTACTATTTTGTTTTAAAGAAATTAAGAGAATTTCAAATGGAGTTTCTCTATTATATGCTCTTACTATGGCAGATGATTTAAAAATGTGGAAATATATAATTGCATCTAAATCTCATGGAAAATTACCATTAGCTTTTAGTATATTAATTCATATTAAACAATGTTGTTCATTTATTTGTTGGAATATTAATAAACAAGTACCAATAATGTCTACTTGTAAATCAATTGTAATCATATCAAAAGTTTCTTATCTTTCACATAGAAAAAATCATAATTCCATATAAACAGCTTTCTTTTTTTTATTTTTTAGAAATATTTTCCAATAATACATCCTTGTGGTGACTTAAATACAAATATTTTGGATTGTTTTTTTTACAAATATCCAACAATACAAACGAAAAAAATCAGAATTGCAACAACATTTTGTGAACATGATTTTGAAAATAGTTAGTTTTTGTTCTAGGCCTAAGGCAGGAAGGGAGGGATGTAAAAATTTCTTATTTTTTTTAATACTAAATACCAGCTGTACAAATCTATTTTGCAGTGCATACAATGAAGAGTTTAATAAATACTCAATTGCTATTCCATAAATATAGAGAGCAAGACAAATATGATATAGGAGTATTAAAAATGAGATTAAAGAATAATTCATTGGATACATTTCATGTTCAATACAAAAAGCTGCCAACAAATATATTGATTCAGATTTGTTCAGCAATTGGCTATGATAATCTCTTTTCTCTTGTGTATCCTTGGAAAATTTCCAAAACGGAAAAAAACTACAAATATTATGATATATTTTCAAAGAGTTTGAAGATTTGCTGTTATTTGTAAGTTGTTTTCCATGTGAAACTATTTTTTTTTTCCAACTATTCACCTTGATTGGGAAAAAGTATGAAATATTATTTGAATCAAAAAATTATGATCCAGTTGCACCACTTTTTAAAAAAGAAATCTATATTATAAAATTATGTAAAGATGTTTGTAACCTATTTTCAATGATTTTTAATTCACTAAATTGCTATTTTGCAACAATAAAAAGAAAGTTGAATGTAAAAATTTGAATTTAATTTTTAAAATTATTTAAAAGATATATAATCTTTTTTCTCTTTAGAAATTTGACATGTTAAGTTGTTCGCGTAATTCAGGTTATAAAAGCTGTAGTGTGGTAGAGGGAACTTCAAAGATGATATATGAAGCGAATATAATTTGTGATAATACAAAAGGAAAATATAGTAATCATCTTTATTAATCTTTTCTGTTCAATTTATGAAACTGATAGAAAGTATAAAAAATTGACAGGCATTTTTCAAATTGTATACAAAAATTCTTGGCTTGCACTTAAATATGTTGAACATTTTGAAATTGGTGTTATTTGCAAATATTTTGGTTTTAATTATGGGAAAATAATTCAAGAATCAAGTATTGCTGAATATATATATATAAATTTGATGGTTATGAATTCACTTATGTTGACAGTTTTGAAACAATTTCATGTAAAAGTATATCACTTTTAAATTGTAACTTTAAAAGAAGAAAGTAAGAAATTCCTTTTTTCTTATTGCAAAAGTATTAGTAAAATAATCATGTGAATCATTAAAAGGATATTAAGAAAATGGCTGCCATATTATTTAGAATGTTCCCATGAAAATGTTATTGAAAGTAAAAATACTAATATTTCATTTTTTTTGTTTAATTATTCTAATATGTTTGAATTTTTTAACTGATTGCCCCAAAACCTCTGCTTTGCTGATCTACGATGTCTGCTATTATACTTTTGAGTATACTAGACAAGCATTAGTATCAGAGATGAAAGAGTTTTGTGTAAAAAAGAATTTAACATACTCTGATTATCCAACACTTAATTCATTGTTTGTCACCCTATTCTTATCATATGTCAAAATGCCAAGCGTTGAGAAATTTTCGGAGGATAATCCATTCGGTTATCAAAGTAAAACCAAACTTTTTATTGAAAACTTTCTATTTGTGTTTTTTTTATATGTTGTTCTAGTCTTGGAGAAAAGAAAATATAGGAGAAATCAATACATTTATGTGACAACAAGTGGTAGAACAATCAGTATTCCTCCATTTTATAACAAGGTCAGTAAAAGGAATTTGTCAATTTTTCCAATTAGTGATTCATTCTTTTCCTTGTGCCAAAAAAAAACCAAAACAGATCAGAAAGCGTGTTAAATATATAAATCAACAATCATTTGAAAATTCTGACAACTATAAACTAAATTGTAAAAGTATTTTATATAAAATTAAATATATT